AGCACACGATTCGATTCCTTTTCCACGAGAAAGGGATTTCAGTCCCGCGCTGTGTCGAGCCATGTCGCACGGCATGTTCCCTACCGACACCACGATCGCGGCGGTGAACGGCGTACCGATTGCATTCTATCAGCGTCGATGCGCAGGTATGCGCGTTGCACACGCATCCGAGGCGCGTGCGACGTGCGACAAGACGCGGCGCGAGGGAACTCCTGGGAACGCTCCACCTCCTGAGAATGCGCCACGCCGCCCGGGCTCGACAACGATCGAATCGCGAACATAATTGACGATCAAAGTGGGTATCGCGGAGGATGAGAAGATAATGGGAAGTTTCACGAGCAGGTGCGAACGATCCCGTTGATTCCGGTCGCTTGAGCTTCGAGTGTCGCTCTGGAGTGAGAAATTTACTCTCAAGAGACGCTACGTTTCTAAACATGATTAATGATTATTCCTATCAACAAACCTTTACGACGTAATTAATTATGCGTTATTGCAACTTTATCTTGGTTGATTATTACGAATAATTTATGGAAATTTATATTACCGATGATAATTAATAGATTCATAAATAATGCGTTTTATATAAAGTAAAAATTAAATAATAATTAGTATTAAGGATACGTTAAATATTATTATTGTTACTTGACTTTGCGTAAAAATCTGCCTTTCACGTTTCTCTAAAAGCTGTCAATCAAATTAGAGCGCGACAGTAAGGTCGAGTAAGAGAAATTGCGACAAGAGAGCCAAGCGAACGCTTCATTTGAGTACCGTAGGTACTTATTAGTCAGTAATTAGCAACTCTGTCGGCGATATGGTTAATTATTACAATTAAGCCATTCTGGGCTCTGAGAGTATCCCAATTCCCCGCGGGAATTCCCCTGTACACACAAGAGGTTGCTGCATTATTACTCATACCCAGATTTAACACAATTTCATACGAGAATTCACATTATAAATAACATAGATCTTCAATCTCAAACGGCATTCGCGAATAATGTCAATGGACGCAGCCTGTCCGAAAACGAGAAAGAAAAACGAGACACTAATGCGCGGCGATTTATCGGAAAATGTAATACACAGCGAAAGTAAGATTATTTAAGTATCTGCAAGCAAAGTTTGCCGAACGTGAATTTACGCGAACCTCATTTTTTCTATGGCTCATTAAAAGTTTGCAAGGTGCAGGAAAACGCTTAAGCTTTAAGTTGCGGTCTTATTTATTATAGTCTTATTTAAGTCTAACTTTCAGACTTTTCGCGAGTAATTGAATCATCCCTCAACAATTCATTAATATCGAGTACATACGTGGAATAAAAGGGGAGAGAGAGAGAGAGCAGCAAGCTACTTTTTGCATGTGGCGTAATTACCACTCGTTAATGGAATGAAGTCGCAAAAAACCTGCAGTAATTACTTTATTACCCCTTTACATTATAATAATCCAACGACAAAAAAAAATCAGCGAAAAGTCGGCACGTTTTTCTTCACAAAAGTTCTAATTTAAATATTATTACGGCCACGTTGCAGTTTTTTTCAATGTACACATGAAATCAAATTAGTCAAAGCAATGACATGATTGCCATGAAAATACAATAGTTTGTATTAATAATTGTGATATCAAAAAATTGTCTATGTTACCAATAATCATTGCCACAGTAAAACAATAACACTAGTCGACACAGTTAAACTTTTATATTATTTTAGTAAAATAAATAAAATATTTCTAACAATTCGCACATATAAAAATATGAGACAGTAAAAAATTTATAATGATGCGTTACATTTTTATATTATTGGCATTTAATATTTAGTTTCAAAGGTCGTGACTCTGAATCACGTTGACCTAAAGCACGTTGACCTCATGTTTTACATTTAAATTGTCAAAAGCGGCTCTGAAATAAAAGATATAATTCAATCTTATAACAAAGAATGTATTAAAATACAAGCAAGTAAATTTATTAATAAAAATAGCAAAAGCAGCCCACATACATTAATAATAATAAAGCATTGAACCGTCACTCTTCTGTTTCATAAAAAGATAGAAACCAGGTTTAATTGTCACTTTTTACAAACTAGCTAAACTAACTAAAGCATACCAATTTCTAAAAAGGTACGTGTTACGTTGTGGAACTTTTTATTGTCATATCGACTTTTTTATTGTCATATTCGTAATTAGCGCACACAAATTAACAAAAAAAAAGAATGTGTTTATCTTGTTACAAAAAGTTTAATACTTTAAAACTTTTTTGTTAACTAGTGTAATTATAAAGTAATGATTTTAAAAATATAATAGTTATTTAAAAAAATTTTTTTAACTTTTTAATAAATATTAAAAGCGATATCCTCCGGGAAAGAAATTACATTTCTGCTAAATTTGTTTGCAAACGTGCGCGGTTACACATCCGCATCGTTAAATTAGAATAAAATCGTTTCTCGTGCTATCTCGGTTTCTCCGAAGTGCGCGTGCGAGGGTTTCTATAATTATGCATTTGCCGTCTCGCTGGTGCATCGACGGTGGTAACATTGAATTCACTGACTTTGGCCTGGCAGTGACTATACTTCTCTGAATGCAATCAATGGGCGTAAACGCACGTGTTAAGCGGTCGGCATTGTTGCGCCGGTATTGTTCGGAGCAGGTTATTGTTACATTATGCTCGCATTATTGAGCCTTATTACGAGCAGACGTTTAAGGCCGTATATTCAACGCGACTTACGTTGATGCACGAAGCGCGAGCGAAAGCGAGGAATGCGCATAGTTGGCACTCTAAGATTCACACGTTCGCGTTTTGATACAAAAGTATCGAGTGATAGATATATCACGATCTCAGTAGACTTAATACTTTTATAAAAAACCTAATATGATTGATTGATTTATATGCTATTTATGTACATAAAAGGAGATAAAATCGCTAACAAGGAAAGTGTGGTACTTAACTCGAAAATTCCTAAAAATCTGAAATGTTGCAGAAATAAACTACATGTAAACTTAAGCACATAGCAATTTTGTGTTTTGAATAATAAATGATACCAAATGTGAAAATACTCCTTCAAAAATTAGATTTTCTATTTCTATCTCAGAAAACGTAAAAGATATTTAAACAATATTAAATACAAAAAAAGTTAATGGTTTTTTATAATCCACAATATATAAGAGATAGAAAAATTTTTATTAGAAGATATCTATCTATTTCTAATTTTATTATATTTCTCAGTCTTTTCTACCCCTATTTCATATATAATTTTTTAAGATTTGGTTGATTAGAC